TCTATTTTCAAAAATTAGTATTTTTACCTCTAATTATGTAAATAAATATTTATTTGACGGAAAATTACATAAACAATAGTATATTTTATAGTTTTCATGTAAGTATATATGTGTATTATCATTATGTTACATAATATTACAATTTGTACATTTACATAGACACTATAAAATATACTATTGTTTTTGTAACTTTCCGTCTTATATAAAGATATATTAAAAGAATTAGGTAATAGTAAATTTCGAAAACAGTTTTATTTTTTTCCATTACAAATCACGTAATTTTTAAACATTTTCCATGGAATCATCACTATTATTTGTGTAATTTTAATACTGTTTTTATAGTTTACATTATATGTACATATAAATAATAATACATTTTTTTACAGCGCATTAATGAAGCAGTGCGGAGGGCCATCAACAAAGAGAAAAAAAAATTGAAGCCAAAAGGGTACACTGCCTGCAGATCTACATATGTGCCAAGATACCCGGTGGTGCCGGAATACCCAGTGGCACCAGCACCGATATATCCAACGACGTATCTAGCAGTATATCCAGCGACACCGGCATATCTGGCATATCCGGCACCGGCATATTCGGCACCAACATATTCGGCACCGGCATATCCAGCGGCACCAGGATATATGCCACCAGGATGTAATTATTGTAAGTACAACTATTTTAATTAAATTGGAAGCAATGGGCTAAAGAATAAATCCATATAGTGAAAACAGTCTATAAGCCCGTCGCGAAAAGTGTCAGTGGTATTACTATTCAAAACAATGGTAAAATTATTTGGACTAATGATGAAATCATACAGACTCAACGGTTTTGTCATTAACACATGATTTTACTACTTGAAGTGTCCAATAGGAAAATCCTTTCGTTAGTAGTAAAATATTTTACCATTGGATGTACTTCAATAGAAAAATCATTCAATCAATGATTTATTCAGTTACTATTGGATATACCATCAATAGGAATACTATTAAATCAATAATATAATATTTTACCATTAAATTTACGTTAATAGGAACATCATTCTGTCAGTGGTACATATATAATATTTTGCCATTCGAGATAAAAAAATCATTCGGTTAGTGATATATTGTGAATATATATATTTTGTGTCATTGAATATGTGTATATATACATATATTATATAAATAAGAAAATCATTCAATCCAAATTATTGTGTGTGTGTGTGACTGAATATTTATTATAAAATTTATATAAAAATGTCTTCGAGATATATATATATCTCGAAGTAAATACAATCATTGAGTTATCATATAAAAATATCCAAATAAAAATGTTCTAATCCCTCTCGGATTTATTGATTAATGTGCTTACATACGTTATACCATTCACATTCATACACAGACATTTTTTATATATATCATTAATCATACAACAAAAAACGGGTCCATTATTTTTTACTACATTTAAAAACTTGAAGCTGGATGTTTTTAATAATAAACAATTGGCCACTACTATATCAGTATTTGGTATTAACTGTTGACCAATGAGAACAAAATACTTTTTTTCATTAATGCAAACACGCAATAAATGATCAATTTGGAGTATTTTTTTATTAAATAATTTTACAATAGAATTCAGTCTTTTAGTTAATCGCGTGTACGACGTGGAATGGAACATTGTATGTTTCCAGATAAATCTTTTAAAACTAGAAATCTAAATTTCGTCGTTTTGATTATTAAAATTATACTCTTATAGGTTCCCAATTAACATTGAAGTTTCTTGGGTCAAAATAAATTCATTACTATTTTCAAACAGAATCAAATTTTTGTCTTCTCTTATCGCATTTTGCACAAAATATTCATCTCCAATGAGCTGGCCAAACAGATCAATTGCTGGAGCAAATGTGTTCGTATTAAAAACACTTGGACCTGTCCTTTGAAGAAAATTTGTCAGCTCATAATGCTTAAAAATTTGGGAAATGACAGATCCTGTACTATGGAAAAGTTGCACTAGAATGCCATTACCATGTTCATACATAAATGCCGAACTATCCCACAGTACACCCCAATCTTTAACACATCTTGGCATATGCAAATGGAGATGCAAATTAAATAACAGAAATTCTGGTTCATATAAAGTTTCCGTTAATTCCACAAATTTATGAATACTTAACTTGGCCTCGTCAATATCAGTTTCAGTTACGTTCTCTTTTAGTAATAAACGCATAGTAAAAACTAATAAAAACCAATGTTCATAATATTTAATTAGCAATATATCGCGTAAAATTACTAATGAGTAGTACATCCCGAAATTTCGCCAATCTGTAGCTTTCCATAAAGCTCGCTTTTCTATACTCGAAGGTGTGCGTCGTATTTCCGTAGGCGGTTTTATTGATAAAAGTCGTTGGTTTACTTCATTTCTTTTGTTACCAATATACCATGGTCGATTGCGATAAGTGCTATTAAACCATGCCTCACAAAAGGTTCATATTGTTCCTAAAAGATTGGCATGCATGTAGTCCGGAACATATGACCGAACAACATCAAAAATAGGCACTACTGATAATGGAGAAAATCCTTTTACTCCATTGACAGATTCGTTTTGATTGATAGCTTTTTCTGCATCAGTGAATACTTGCTGGGAAGTTCGAAGAGTCCCAACAAATGGCCGATAAATGCGAATGCGACCACGTCTTTTTTCCATTGTCTCTCCGAGATTGAGACAAAATGGACATCCACCCTCACCATTGAATTGATTAAATTCTTGTACCTGCAAAGAAATATATATATATATATATATATATATATATATGTAAAGTATATTATAAGTCGGAAAAAACCCATACCACACAAATTGTTCAGAAAAAGTTAATCTTTAAAATAGTATATTTTTAGAAAATTTACTAATATATTTATATTTTAATAATTTTTACCTAACAATAATTAAAATTAACATTAATAAATAATTTTTTATGACCTTTCCCAAAATAAAAGTTGCTTATTTTTTCACTAAAAGTACGTAAATATATGTATACTCAAAGTATATAGGCAATAACGACTTTGGACAGGACTGCAGTTCAGTAATAAAAAAAATTGAAATGGCCAATGGAGCATCCAAAAATGATATTATATTACTGAAGGGTGGTTATGCCCCCTATACTTTGTATATTTATATACTTTTAGTGACAAAATGAGCGGTTTTTATTTTGGGGAAAATCATAAGAAATTATTTTTATTTTTTATTAAGAAAACATTACATAATTTTTTATATATCATCTTAAAGAACATCTTTTTTTTAAATAATTTTATTAATTTTAATTTTAATTGGTTACTATGTATTCTTTTTGTATCTGCAATATTTAAGAAGATATTACGAGTTCAACAAAATAAAAATCTTTTTTACCTCAATTTTCAAAAATTTCTAGATTTAAAAAAGAATTAAAAAATCTAAAAATATTTTATGTAATATCACAACATAAAAAAATCACGGAGAAATTCAAAGAGATAACTTGAAAATCTTTATGAATTTAAAATGAAATGCGCCATATATTTTGAGCGTTTTTATAATTATGAATAAATTACATTAATAAATATTTTTAACCTTTGGTCTAGCAGTGGAGTCAAGAATTGCGATTAAAGTATGAACTTTGATGCTGACATTTCCCTTTTCAGGAATAGGACATAATTCCCTTTTCATGTAATTGTGTTACTTCTTTTATAAAAGGCTTCAAATACACATCCATTCGAGGTGAACCGTCGCCAACCCAAAGTCCAGCTAAAATCATATTACATCTTCGGATTTGATAAGGTAACTCGTTCACCGCTACTTGTATCGGCCAGAGTGATTTCCTTGACGACTTGAAAATATTTGCACCATCGGTATTGAACTGCAGAGTTATGTCATTTTCTCCAATTACTCCATTTCTTTCCAGCGCTTTATATATTCTACCGGATGTCACTCCACTAGACTCACTTTTGCGAAGATGACTAACAACGTTTTTATCGATTAAGATGTCTTTTAATTTTTCAGATATTTTAAGGAAATATTTTTCCTCTTTCTCTAGTTTTTTTTTTATTATTTAAAGCTCCACATGCACATAATACTTGTTCAGTATTATTTGGAATTTCTAAGTAATCTTCACATATTGAGCAATAATAATGCTTATCAAAGTCTTGCATTTTCGGAAATCTTTTGAAAAACCGATGTTTCGTAGAGTACTTTGACTCCGGTAAATGGCAATCAATTAGTTTCAAAAAGTTTTCCCAACTTCTATCTGGAAGAGAATATCTTAAAAAAAAAAGACATGATGAGAAATTCGCTTTCACGCCTCGTGATCCGTGCTCCGTCATACAATTTCTGTTGCTCCTATAATATAAATTATATATAATAAAAATTAATGGAATTATAGAATTATGAATCTATTATAAAGTATTTCTGTTTTTTCTTAGTCATACATTATTACAGTATTATAACATATCAATAAAATATATAATTAAAATATATTATACCTCATCATCATTGTTATCGACATTGTTATTGTCGTAAATCCCATCATCAAAATGATTGTTTTCTGCAGGCTGAGAATCAGTGTCATTTTCCATGATTTCATTCATCTGTGAATGATACGTACATTTTAAATATTTCATATATGTTATATTTCAGTGCAATATAGCTTCCAATAAATATTTTTATTGCTTAACTTTTACACTTTGTATACTTTCAAATAATTAATATACACAAAATATTGAAGGCTACCGTGGTTTTTGCCAAATTAAGTTAGATTCATATTATTCAACACAGATTGACTGAACATTTAGGCATTTAATTGTTCACTTAGATTAGGAAATTGAATATACAATATATGAATATCTATTATATATTCAACTTCCTATAAAATAAACAATTAAAGCTTAGAAGAGAGTTGGACATTGCTGGATAGTGTAAATCTAGCTTTATCCATGCCATAAGTTTATTCTGGAAACCACACATACCGCCGGTTCATTTTCGACGCTTTCATCACCACTATCTAATGGTAGGCGATAATAATCATTAAGTCTTGCTAAATTCTCTCGATCATTGTCATTTTCACGACCAGGATTATTATCATCATTGTCAGCGTTAAAATTGAATTGGTTAGCTCGTGATTCACAATTATCATCATCATCATATCTATCTATTTGGTCTTGATTTATTATGTCATTATCATGTAAATGATCTTCTGCATGATCATCAATATCATCATTCGTCTCATCGTTTCTTCGCTGATCTCGAGTTCTTTTGGGCATTGGGACTGTCTGCCCATAGGTAAGCTAAGTATCGTTTTTTGTTGTAATTAGCCATATATATATATATTCTTTTTAATTAAATCATACAATAAAGTTTGACTGTAAAATTGAAAATAAATAAATGTAATTAGAACATTATAAATATATACAAGTTTAAATAATTTTTTAATTTTCGAAAAATTTAAAGGTTATGCAATTAATTTTTAATTTATCTTGTTTTGCACAACCTTTAAATTTTTCGAAAATTAAAAAATTATTTATATAAAAATTTTATATATTTATAATGTTTAAGTTACATTTATTTATTTTCAGTTTTACAGTTAAACTACATTGTATAATTTCATTGAAAGGAAAACTTACATATATATATGCGATCGATTGACAACTATCACAATAAATCACGATAAATCACAGTTGATTTTGTCGCGAGCATGACATCGATGCAGCATCGATTCAAGAATCGATTTTTTTGTAATCGCACGTTCTGCAGACAGATATATCACACAGTACACAGTTCACGCTTCGGCGGCTTTGGTACAGATTAGGTTAGGTAGAAGGCGCGAAATTCATGGCAAAAAGATATAGCGGGAAGTGAAAATCACGAAGGCTTTCGGAATATTGAACAAAGTGAAAAGTAAAATAGAAGTGCGACGGAAGTATACACGAAAACAATTCGTGCAGAGGACTTGAACACGCAAGACGACACTGATCTTCATGAGGCGATCGGCCGGTGGGCTGCAGAGGAAAAATAAAAAAAATAAGAAAACGCCAGAAACGGCGAACAAAAGGTGAGTGAGAATAATTATCTGAAATAAAGAAATATCTCTAACAAACTGATAATTTCTCTAAACAAAAGAGAAACACGCGGGAAAAGGAAAATACGTGCTAGCAAATATTATAACCCATAAAAAAATTCCAGAGTTGGCTAGATTTAGCCATATAGAATCATATTTGTCCACACTGCAAAAAATCGCATAATTATATAGCCACATGTCTACGTTTCGACTGTAGATTTCCCTTTAGCACAATTAATGCGTGCGGTGACAATCTAATTGCGACAAATGCGGGTTTTACCTGAAAGGCAGTGGAATTATGCCAACCATTCAGGAAAACATTAATTTTTATTAATTCTATTATTTATTACGTACATTTAAAGGTAAAATGTCAATAGCATGGCCAAAGAAATTGGCAGGTCTTTTCGAATTCTTCCAAGAAAATCGTATTGGCGTTGGGGAGGTGAATTGGATTATTTTGAATGAAACGCGAGAGTTAAAAGGAGGAAAATACAATGGATTATCTTAAACAAATTATAACAGAAAAAAAACCATCAACGTCAAATGGCCAAATAAAAACAAAGTTGCGAGTTGTTACCCAGCAAAATTATTACAAATCGGAAATAAGTATATATTTATTTAATTGTTCCAGATTTTCAGGTTATTACTACATTTGGAATTGCTTCTAGACGTTTTGCAATTTTAAATATGGCAATAACCATAAATCTAGAAAAATAAAATGGAAAAACGCAGTTTAAATGTTTGTATTTATTGTTAAATTATTATGTATTTAATACATACATTTTTCATGAAATTATTTCGATTAATTTTATATTATGCTTTACAATTTTTTAAAGAATGGGACGAAAGATCAAGCATGCGATAATTTGGAGAAATATGAAACAATGACTCCAATTAAGGAAGATCGTAAGCACATCAGCAAACACAAAGCCAACACCAGTGAAGAGAGTGACGGCAATGAATCATCAGAAGTAGTTCAGCTTGTAGATAACAAGGCTAGTATACTTTTTAGTACATATGTAAAAATATTTATATATACGTTGATTAAACGTCACACCATGCAACATAGATGACATAGATGCTAAACATGCACAAGTCAAAATATAGTTATAAAAGATATAAATATATAGGGCATTTCATATCAAACCAGACGATTCATTATCTTCAATTTTTTTATTTAAAGGATCAAAGATATATAATAAAAATTCTCTAAGTAAATAGTTAAATTTTTAGATTTTTTAAATCAAAATTTGGCGAGGAAATATTTTAATTTTAATTATTTTTTATTTTTTTAATTTTAATTTAATTTTCACTATTTTTATTTTTTGCATGAACTCTAATTCTTCAAAAAATCGTTTTTTTTTATTAAAGTATTTAATTAAGTCAATTTTTAAAAACAAAAATAAAAAAATATTTTTATTTTTATGAAAATAACGTATTTTTTCAAATAAGTTTTTGTTAAGAGAAAATTAGGAAAATTATTTTAAAATATTTTAAAAAGGAATTAAAAGAAACTTTGTTGGTTTTCAGAATTTCGGAAGAATGAGCCTTAAACATAATGGAAAGGAATAGAAAACAGGAAATGCAGAACAAGAATTTCAACCTGTCAGAAATCGTATATTCTATAGTATATGGTTTATTTCTGATAAGTTGAAATTCTTATTCTGCGTTCCCTGTTTTCTATTCCTTTTCATTGTATTTAAGGCTTTACGGTTTACGCAGAAAATAAACAAAAAAGTTAAATATTGAAAACAATTTTTTACTTTTAAATCAAACATTAAAATTGTAATTAAAAAATCTAAAAACATTTTTTGGCGTTTTTTTTCATATACTTTCAATCTCTAAAAAATTAGATCGATGGTAAATATTGTCTGGTTTAACACAGAATATTTCATGTATAAATAAATAGATATTATCATTGTTCAGTAGCTACGTACAATATAATTTTATATTTGTTTTACAGAAGGACAAGACACAAAAAAAGCTAAAGTCAAAAAAACATTTTCAGACTTCTATGAAGCAAGACCTCATCGGTAATCGGAATAAAGAGGAAACTGGAATAGCAAACTTGACGTTTACTACGGATGAGTCAATGATCAATTCTACAGAAAAGTTTAATTGTAAGTAATATTAATATCAAGAACTTAGATGTTTCTATATTGCAAAAAAAGAAGTATATATCAGTCATAGATTGGCGGTAAGTAAATAGAAGTCAAAATAATGTTGATTAATTTTTTTTAATTTGGCGACCATATTGATGAATATTTTTCAAGAACAACTTTGTTTTTTTAAATGAAAATCTATATTTTTTATTGCATAATCTTATTCTACGTAAAAGAAATAATTTATCTTAAATATTTTTGTACGATTTGTTTTTTAAGGTTTTTAGAGAAATAGCTATTAAATTATTAATTTCTTAATATTTTTTAAATCAAATTCTATCAATTTTAGAGAAAAGTTGCAAAAGACAAAAATTATTTATTTTCTTTTTATAGAGCTCTGGAATATTTTCAAAATTTATCTTTTAATACAAGACCAATATAAGAAAATGCAGTACTAAAAAAATATAAAAAATTCTGTAAAAGTTTCTACAACTCTGTGAGAAGAAAAGAAATAATTTTTGTCTAATTTTGTAATCATTTCTGTGAATATTTCAAAAAATAAAGACTATACAAAGAATATTTCAGATAAAAGTTATTTGTTTTTTTTTCCTAAAATAAGATTACAAAAAAATATATAATTTTCCATATAAAAAAACAAAGATGATCTTAAAATATATTTGAAAATACCCACGCTTAAAAAAATTATGCCATTTTGATATCCTCCCTCAAAATGATGGAATACGTTTTATATATTATAGTTTATACTGGCGGGATTTTAATATATTAGAGTTTATTCCACTAATTTGTAAAATATATAAATGGTCCATCACGCCATACCTATTAGAGGTGGAAAACTATCGATGGTAACTATCGATAATGTCGATATCTTAACTTCAAACCGATATATCGATAGTTTTCTTTTACTATCGATAGTTTTACGATAGTCGCAAAAAGTAGCCGAAAGCATTAACCGAACTAACCTAAGCAGACTGCAGGAGACAAGGCAATCCAAGTTAATTAATCCATTTCGATGGTGCACGATAAAAGATTTCAAGATTTAGTTTATAGTACTCATACATTAGATCCAAAATGTAAGCTGCCGAGTAAGACCACATTGCGAAA